TGCAATCAGTAAAAACCAAACTTCAAATTTTGAATTTGGATCTTCCCCCAGGCTAGAGATTCACAGCACGATCCCCTCCCTTGATGCTGGGCAGTCGTAGAGAGTGGTGGCTCCCAGTCAGCCCTGCGATCACAGGGGTCAACATCTGCTACCCTGACAACCATCCTGCCCCCGTGCAACCTTCTGTTTTATCACTTTCAGCACACTATTCAGTCATTCAATATTGTTAGGTTAGGTGTATGAAATGTATTTTCTTTTTTTTTTTTTTTGAGATTTTAGTTTTAAGTAATCTCTACTCTTAAAGTGGGGGCTTGAACTCAATCCCGAGATCAAGAGTTGCCCACTCCACTAACTGAGCCAGCAAAGCTCAATATTTTCAATGTATGATATGTATTTTCAACTTACAATATTTCCAATTTGGGATGGGTTTATTGGGATGGAACTCTATCATAAGTTGAAGGAGTTCTGTATTTAGAATGAGGAGTCACTAATGTTCCCTTAACAAACAGGTCAAAAGAGGAAGACTGCCTAAGAAATCTCATTTGGTGCATGTTGACATTTTATTTGAAATCCATATACTTGTGTATTTCATGTGTTTATGGCAAAACTGCTCCTACGGAACCTTAAAGAATAAGGTACCTTTTAATCTTTACAAATACATTTTAAAATTATTGTTACTCTACATCCAGATTATGTTGGCAATTCCTGGATTTAAAAAAAAAATCCAAATGGGTAACTCTCTTCTAAAAATTCAGCTGAGAATATCAGATACTAAGCAACAAAGAAACATGAAGAAAAAGGAAGTACAAACAGGTTCATGTGGAAATAATCTGGTTCAAAATACTTCATATCTGACCATTCTTACTGCACCACATCTGGAGATACAAAATGTTAGGTTGTCTTGCTATTTGGTGATGCTAAGTTTGATCACTTGGTTAAAATGATCCACCAGGTTTCTTCATTGCAAAAAATACACTTAATAATTAATAGGTCATCTATCTGTGGGGTGATACTTTGAAGGCATGTGAGCATCCCTTTCCTCAATAATTTTTCACCTTATGGTTTTAGCATTCATTGATAATCCTTGCTTGAATCAAATATTACCTGAGGGCTGCAAAATAGTAGTTTTTAAAAAAGATTATATCATTTCATCTACATGTAGTAGCTGATTCCTTCTGTAAGCAAGAGCTTTTAGGAAGCTTGTGTTCAGATCCAAAGATTGGAACCAAAAATGTTTAATGATGAGGAATCTAATGATGAATCTAATGATGAGGAAACAGTCAGTCAAATCCAGAACATTTTACAAGACATCTCCCCTGGACTCTTCAAAAGAAGTGAATGTCAAGGGTTGGGGAGTACTGTTCTAAATGAAAAAAAAAAAAAAAAAACAAAGGGGTAAAAAATTTATAAGAGGTGTTGGGGCCTGAATTTTTTTTTCAAACTTTTTTTTTTAAATTTTATTTATATTTATTTGACACACACACAGAGAGAGAGAGAGAGAGAGCGAGAAAGGGAACATCAGCAGGGGGAGAGGGAGAGGGAGAGGCAGGCTTCCCGCTGAGCAGGGAGCCCAGTTCAGGGCTTGATCCCAGGATCCTGGGATCAGAACCTGAGCTGAAGGCAGACGTTCAACGACTGAGCCACCCAGGTGCCCCTGGATCCTGAATTTAAGAAGAAAAAAAGAAAGAAAAAGTAGCTGCAAATGGCATTTTGGGAGAATTGGGAAAATTTGAGTATTTAATATATCTTAGGTGATATTAAAGAATTACGTCAGTTTCATGGTGTGATCATGGTATCATGTTTATGTAGAATTGTCCTTATTCTTAGGAGAGGTATGCTGTCTACAATTATTTCAAATGATCCCACACACAAAGCACATAGCACATACACAAGCACAAATACCTTCAACCAACCCAAATAGTTTAGAAACTAAAACAATAAGATGGTATCAAATAGAGAAGCAGGAGTGTGTCTTGCATCTACCTCCTGTATTAATGTAGGTTTGGTAAGAAAAGCAGAAGCCACTGTGTGTATTTCAAGTGTGAAAGGCTTTAATATAGAGAATTCAAGGTTTATAAAACTGTTGGACGTGATGGAGGAGTGATCATCTCAGCTTGAGCTTGAAGGAGAGATGCTCAAAAGTTCACCTGTTAGTAGCTACAAATGAGAAACTCACCTAATTGTCTTAGGCTACAAAACCAATGAATGTGATTCTTAAGAAGGTTATCCAGAAGCTGCCTTAAACCCCCAGTCTGTCTGCCTATGCATCTGCTTGCAACAACCAAGGAAAATAACCGTCTCTCCTCTTGCCTGTCATACTGACTGACTCTAACCTAGGCCCAGAGAGGGAAGGAGATTCTGGGAAATACGGTGTCTCTTCTGCATTACCGACAAGATCTGAGAAGGTGTAGTGATGAGGGTCGCCTGGGTGGCTCAGTTGGTTGAGGGTCCGACTCTTGACTCTGGCTCAGGTCCTGGTCTCAGAATTTCAGGGTCATGAGATTGAGCCCCGCATGGAGCCCCGCAGCATCAGGATCTGCACTCAGCAGGGAGTCTGCCTAAGATTTTCTCTCTCCCTCTCCTTTTGCCCCTCCCCCTGCACACACACTCTCTCTCAAATAAATAATCTTTTAAAAAAAAGAAGGGGTGGTGATGATACCAATTTACAGACACTATAGTGCAGCTGTATTTTATACCATAACCTCTGCAAAAACTATTAGAATAGCAAAAATGCTTTTTAAAAAATATACGGTAAAATATGCATAACATAAAAATTATCAGTTTTAAGTGCAACAACTTTTCAGTGGCATTAAGTACATTCACACTGTTGTGCAACTAGCACCACTGATCACCTCCATAACTTTTGCATCTTCCCAAACAGAAGCTCTGTGCCATTTTTAAAAATGATTTATTTATTTATTTTAGAGAGAGAGAGTACGAGTGGGAGGGGCAGAGGGAAAGGGAGAGAGAATCTCAAGCAGACTCTGCACTGAGCCCAACGCAGGGCCTGATCTCATGACCATGAGATGCAGAAACCACCCGCATGAGATGCAGAAACCACCCGCTCTGTGCCATTAAACATAATGAATCTCTTTTTCCTGCCTTCCCAGCCCCTGGTAACCTCTAATCTACTTTCTGCCTTTGCCTTTGACTATTTTAAGTACTTCATTTAAGTGGACTCATGCAAGATTTGTTCTTTTGTTCTGGCTTATTTCACCTAGCATAATGGCATCAAGATCCATCCATGTTATAATGTGTGTCAGAATTTCCTTCCCTTTTAAGGCTAAATAATATTCCATGTGTACATATCCCACATTTTGCTTATCCACTCATCTGCCGATGGGCACTTGGGGCCCTTTCCCCCTTTTGACTATTGTGAATAGTGCTGCTGGGAACAGGGAAGTAGAGCTATCTGTTCCAATTCCTGCTTTCAATTCCTTTGGTTATCTACCCAAAAGTGGAATCGCTGGATCGTATGGCAATTCTAACTAATCCTAACTAATTCAAACCAAGTCTGAAAAAAAAAAAAAGAATATAAGTTCCCCAAGGGATAGGCTATTTCGGGCTGAGGGAGCAGCATGTAGGGAGGCTCAGGGTCCTGAAAGAGATGGCATGCTCAGGGAATGCCAAGGGTGTTGTGTGGGAGGAGATGAGACCGGAGTGGACTGGGACGAGCCACGGCAGAGGCACGGCAGAGAACGCATGGAGTAGGCCGGACTTTGGCAGAGACACCTGTCTGAGGCTATGCACGTGATCAAGGTGGGAGGCAAACTCGGCTGTGATGTGACTGGTAGCGGAAATGGAAGACAGGGGATCGATTCAGGGTACATTCAGGAGTAAAAATCAGGAGTTCCTGAATGTATGTTTAAGTACATGGAGTGGGCGTGTCATCAAGGGTCTGGGCTCTTGGGCTTCCCCTTCTCAGAGGCCCTGGGGGTGCAGTTCAGCCTTTCCTGTGGGAAGAATCCTCCTCTTGCTCCAATTCTTTAGGCCCAGAGTCCCTGGCCCAGATGCCTCTCACGGCCTTCACCCTGTCACATCTGACTTCCCTGAGTTCCTGGATTATTTCATAAAGATGGGAGCACCCTTAACCCCATAAATGCTGGCTCTTCCCAGGCTGCCTGAGGGGCCTGTAGTGAAGCTGTCAAGAGCCGCTCAGGTTCAGGCTGGCCCCTGGACCCTGTCCCTGTCTGTCTAGGGCATGGTGCCTCTGGGCAGTTGAGTAAGAGCAGGGCCCTCAGCTGATAGGCTTTCCTCTGTTGGGGGCCAGCCAGCTGCTCAGTGGGAAGGGTGAAGGTCATGGGGCTTGGGGGGAACTGGGTGAGGAGTTCAGCCTTACTCCTTGATAATCTTTCCAGGCAGGACCTTTCTGCTGAAGCAGCCCCCTGATACCAGGGCACTCATTAACCCTCTGGGTGCCAGGGAAGGGCAGGAGGTAAGCCTTGGGGAGACAGCTGAGGTCAGCCTTCTTTGAACCTCCACGTGGTATTTACTCAGGGCAATTGTTGCCAGAGGCCCAGGCCCCTGGAGTATAAAGCCGAATGTCTGCTCTCTGTGCCCAGAACTGAGCAGGTGAGCGGGTGCTGGGTGGAGGGGTGCAGGTCAGATTCCTCAGGGAGGGGATTGCAGGGGTCTCAGCAGAGAGCTCTTGGGCTTCTTGGGGTGGGAACTAAGAACTAAGGACATCCTTTTGGAGCACTTTGGCAGGGTAGCTTCTTCTCCCTTGGGATCCCTCAGCTTTCCCAGTTGCAGAGTGGGAGGCAGGAAGAGAGGTAAGCAGGGGAGTGATAGCAGAAGTGGCCGAAGGAGCTGCTTGTGGGGTCTCAGGAGGGTGGTGGGGGAAACTCTACAAAGCAGTTTGAGCTCCACACTCCATATGTGTGATCCAGGTGAAAAAAAAGCCCCCCTCTCCCCAAAGCACCCTTTCCCTCCCAGCCATGCTCACCTAGATCAGTCCTCATCAGCCCCGGCAGCCCTGTGCTCCCCATATCTCAGGGAAAGGTTAACAGGTTTTGGGCAGGTTGGCCCTGGAGCAGGGCCCCCTGGGACAAAACTGGGAGATGTCCTTCCTTTGCTTCTTCACCTTAACCGGGCCTCGGTTCACCTTCTTCTTGAGTAGACAACAGCAAGTATGTTTGCAGTTCTGACCTGGGCTCTGGCTCTGCTCTCAGGTGGGTCTCCAACCCTGATTTCAATGCGGAGGCGTGGGTGGAGGCTGGACTGAAGCAGGGGGAAACCTAGCCTCTAACCACCCCATCCCTCTCCACAGCATTTGCAACTGTCCAGACACAGAAAGGCTTCTGGGACTACTTCAGCCAGAGCAGCGGGGACAAAGGCAAGGTGGCGCGGGTCCAGCAGCAGAAGCTGACATGGGAACCCACGTGAGTGGCTAGGACAAGGGGTGTGGGTGCAGGGAGGAGACAGCAGAGCAGAACAGTGGGATGGTGTGTGGTCTCTGATTCCTCAACCTCCTTAGTCCTCACTGGGACAGAGGAACAGAGTTGTGCTAGTTTTGCCTCATGCCTGGCCTTCCTGGGCTGTGCAGCCCCCTCTGCCCACAGCAGCACCCCCACCTCCGCCCTGATCTGCTGGCCCCTGCGCACTGAGGTGTGGGACCTGGGAGCCAGTGGAGGGGACCCCCACCACGCCCCCAGAATGAAAGGACTGTGTGAGAGTCCAGATGCATCTGTGTTTCCTTGGGCAGTTTTGGTCTGGATTTGCACATGCCATGTGTTTGTACTTCTGTGTGAGGACTTGTGTGGTTGGCCCGCAGCGAGGACTAGAGCCCTGGACTAGAGCCACCGCCCTGCATCCTTGGTTTCCCCCAGATCAGTGAGTGATGTCTCTGGGGCAAAGGCAATGGTGCGGCCAGCAGTACGATGGTTTGGATGTCTGTCCCCTTTCCCAGGAGCCTGAAAGACAGCCTTGAGCAAGACCTCAGCAATATGGACAAGTTCCTGGAAAAGCTGGGCCCTCTCAGTGGGCAGGGGAGGGAGCCTCCCGGGCTCCCACACGACCCCGAGGGCATGCGGCAGCAGCTGCAGGAGGAACTGGCGGAGGTGAGGGCGCGCCTGGAGCCCTACATGGCCAAGGCGCACCAGCAAGTGGGCTGGAATCTGGAGGGCCTGCGGCGGCAGCTGAAGCCCTACACCGTGGAGCTGATGGAGCAGGTGGCGCAGCGCGTTCAGGAGCTGCAGGAGCAGTTGCGCGTGGTCGGAGAGGGCACCAAGGCCCAGCTGCTGGGCGGCGTGGACGAGGCGCGGGGCCTGCTGCACGAGCTGCAGACCCGCGTGGTGCAGCACACCGGCCGCGTCAGGGAGCTCTTCCACTCCTACGCCCAGCGCCTGGTGACCGGCATCGGGCGCCACGTGCAGGAGCTGCACCACACCGTGGCCCCGCATGCCGCCGCTAGCCCCGCGCGCCTCAGCCGCTACGTGCAGACGCTCTCGCGCAAGCTCACGCTCAAGGCCGAGGCTCTGCACGCGCGCATCCAGCAGAACCTGGACCAGCTGCGGGAAGAGCTCAGCGCTTTTGCCAGCGCTGGCGCTGGCAGCGCGGAGGAAGGGGCCAACCCAGACCCCCAGATGCTGTCCCAGGAGGTGCGCCAGCGACTCCAGGCTTTCCGCCACGACACCTTCCTGCAGATCGCCGACTTCACCCGTGCCATTGACCAGGAGACCGAGGAGGTCCAGCTGCAGCTGGCGCCGCCCCCGCCAGGTCACAGTGCCTTCGCCCCAGAGTTTCTCCAAGCTGACAGCAGCGAGGCCCGCAGCAAGCTGCAGGCCCGTCTGGAAGACCTGTGGGAAGACATCAATGACAGCCTCCAGGACCGTGGTCTCAGCCATGTAGAAGAGCCCTGAGGGTCTACTGATCCGGGCTCACTTCCCGGCTCCTTGTCTGAGCCCAGGATATGAGCCCCCCTGGCGTGGCTCAGTCCTTGACAGTGGCCTATTGGGCAGAGGGTGGAGGGCCCTGCACAGGATAGGCGAGGCCACCAAAGGGACTCTTGTCCCTGGCATATTCAGCCTCCTGCGATTCCCCCATCCGGATGCATTACACTCATCAGGCTTTGCAAACCCAGCTTCCCGTGTTCATTTGGGAATCCTCATGAGTTGCTCCATTCTGCGATGGTGGGAGTGGGGAGGGAGAGAGGCACTTTATGTGCAGGTAGTCATGTGCAGTGCAAGCCTGTTGCCATGGTGCTGGAAGCCTGTACCTCTTTTTCCCAGGGCTTGACTCTGATCACTTCTGGCCGCCTGGTGGCCACTGCTACAGCTGGTCTACCGGAGAGGAGCTCTTTTCTCCCCAGGGCTGCCCTGACAGCTTCTGTTGGGGGAAGAGAAGGGAGAAGGGAGGAAAATATAAGAGCATGTGAAGGAGTGTGCATATATCTCTGCTGGCTCTGATGCTGGTGGGTACAAATGGTGGGGGTTGGGATGGGAAGGAGCGGAGCCTGCATTTCCTTACATTGCTCTACACCTAAACAGCTGACCAAGCCCTCCAAACTGTGGGGGCTTCTTAAAGCCTCGGGGGAAGCATACTGTGTGTCCTCTCCATCTGGGACCCCTCACTTCTGACTCCTGGGCTGAAGCCTAGACTTATGACTCATAAAATAGAGGCATATGGTGGAAGATTATTTGCCTGGTGTGACTCTTATTTGAGCCATGTCTGAAAGCAGTGGCCTTACCACTATCCCCAAAGCACACCCATCACTCATTCCAATCTCTCAACACTCTGTCTCAGGGACCCTCTCCCAATCCAGGTCTGCCAGAGGGTCCTGGCTCTGGCTAGACTCTGCCTTACATGATAGCTGTCTGTCATGCCTGGGTGTAGGCCTGGCTTAGAGACCCTTTCTCTGCACCTGCATTGCTCATCAACCTTATCACAGGGCAGTGTGCATGAAGTGCAGGCTCCTGAGGTGGCCTGCCTCCTTTGTTCCTGAGGTTCCAGATTTTGAATGACCTCCTTATGACTGACCCTTTTTTTTTTTTTGAGAACTCCAAATCTTAAACTCCCCAATTCCGCATATACAGTCTCACTTGGGAGCGACAGAGGTCCTCATAGATCCCCCTGGGAACTGGGAAATTGGGGTTGGGTGAAGTGGGGGGGAGGGAGAGGAAAGGGTAAATACACCCTGTCCAGCATCTTTGGAAGGTCCTGTCCAGCACTCTTTCCTCGGCTCACAGAGTGCCCCGCACAGGGTTCTCAGCACCCCATATGAATCTGGCCTAATCATGCCTGCAGGCTGGACCTCTTCCCTGACACCCTAGATTTAGCAACTGAACTGGGTGAGAGGTGCCCAGGGAGAGGAGATACTGGAAAGGACAGTTTACCACAAAAAGAGGTGTTTTTGTTATTGTTAGGAAACTGTGAGGGGTGAGTCAGCTGGAGTTTGATGTGCTGGGGGTGTGGGGGTGGGAGTAAAAATGAGGGCTGAGTATTTGAGGCTGGAATTTGGGCACTTGTTTATGAGGGCAGACATAAGGAGTGGGAACAGAAAGGGAGAGAATCCTTGAGGGACTGAGGGAGGGGGGATCAAGAGCCGAAGCAATGTCTGGCCCAACAGTGGATGGGAGCCTGAGCCGGGGTCGGAGCGCACCTCCTCAGGGGTAAGAGGGACAAGCCAAGCCTCTTGCCATCAGGTGTCTGGTAGTCAGATTTCTGTACCAATGGTTAGAACCCTGTAGAATGGAACTATTGTGAAGAAGCGAAACAGTGCCCTGGGTCTGAGATGACGTTCTGGGGGAAGTAACGCCTGAATTGAGGTGCAGACAAAGCTTGAATCAGGCTGGCTTTCGAAGTCTGGACCATAGAATCCCAGCAACGCGGAAACCTTGTCAGACAACAGTTCCCGAGGGCCCAGAGTCTGCGGCCTCTTTAAGAAAGGGCGGGGCGGCAGCTGGTGGAAGTGCCGGAGGAAGGGGTGGGGCCGCGAGAGGAGCGGAAGCCGGAAGTGGAGGCCCGCTCTGCGCGTGTTGAGCATGGCGGTCAGCGGCCCTGTGGAGCCGGGGCCCCCGGCGGCTGCTGCCGCTCCCTCCCCCGCCCCGGCCCGGGCTCCAGCCCCCGAGGACTTGTTCCGGCCTATCAGCGCCGAGGACGAGGAGCAGCAGCCCACCGAGATCGAGTCGCTGTGTATGAACTGTTACCGCAATGTAAGGCGGGGGCCCGGCCCGGGGCGGCGGGAGGTTGGGCCGAAGTGGAGTGGGAGACCCGGCCAGGTGGGCCCAGTTGGGGACCCGGAGGCGAGGCACGCCCCGGGGTCAGTAGACGGGGAACAGGGGCTTCCTAGCTGCTTTCTGCTTCCACAGGGCACGACGCGCCTCCTGCTCACCAAGATCCCTTTCTTCAGAGAAATAATCGTGAGCTCCTTTTCCTGTGAGCATTGTGGCTGGAACGACACGGAGATCCAGTCGGCCGGCAGGATCCAGGATCAGGGAGTGCGCTACATTTTGACCGTCAGGGCCCAGGAGGTGAGAGGACCCCATAGCAGTCTAGTGTCCTCTAGAAGTCTTGGGGACCGGAGTCAGAGCTCTCGTGCGACCTCGAATAAATACTCCTATGTGCCCAAGCCTAAGTTTCCTCCTTCCTAAAGTGGGGTTGGTGCTGTCAGATGCTCAGGTGAGATAAGGCTTGTGAAAGTGCTTTGTAATTACATTCTGTCAGAGGGAATCAGATGAGCAGTACTTGTTTTTAGTAGTCCTCTCACTATTTGGGCAGCTGGCTTCACAGGTGTTCTGTTCGGCAGGAGTAGTCTGTACCCCCTGGAATGGAGAGAGGAAGAAACTGCTAGGCTGGGGTCTGGTATTTCCTGAGAAGCTGTACTGCTGACCTCTCTGGAATGAAAGTTTTTCTTTCTGCCCAGGACATGAACAGAGAAGTGGTGAAAACGGACTCTGCCACCACAAGGATCCCGGAGTTGGATTTTGAAATTCCTGCCTTCAGTCAGAAGGGAGGTAGGTATAAGGTCAGGGTATTTGGGCTGTTCAAGCCTGGCTGCAATCTTACTTTCTTGCAAAAACCTGGGTGCCAGGTCTGGTGGCTAGTGCATGGGTTTGGCCATGTTGTCACTGTGACCTTCCTTGGTTCAACAGAAACAGAAAGCTTGGATTAAACAGCTTGAGACAGTAGGTTGTGTTAGTAAGGCTGTAATGTGTTTATTAGAGAGTCTTAGCATCACTGTTATTAGAGATGAATGGAGCTTTGTTCTAGGCCTCCTCATTTTATAGTTGAAATCAAAGCCCAGGGAGCTCCAAGTGAATTGCTCAGAGTCATACAGGCACTCGATGACTGTATGTCAAGACTCACGTGTCTTTTGTTCTTACTCACTAGTTCTGACCACTGTTGAAGGACTGATCAGCCGTGCTGTCTCTGGCCTGGAGCAGGATCAGCCCGCACGAAGGGTGAGTTGGGATTTTCTGATTGCAGCAGCTCAAGGCATAACGACCAATCTATGTCTGAAGAGAGGGTTCAGCCTCTTGTGTAGCTGAACCGTCTCTGAATGTTGGAGAACTTTTGAGGGACACATGGTGATGCTGTTGCTGCCAGGATGTTGCCCATGTTCTGTCTCCCATCCTTTCCACTTCCCTTTCCCTAGTGTTATGTTCACACCTTCTCTCAGACAGGCAGTATAACATTACCTCTGAAGAGCCTTTCCTAATCCCCTTGGATTTATCTATACTTCCTGAGTGTTCCATTGTACCATATATTTATTATGGGGGAAGAAATATAATTACATATTTAGTCATTTGTCTTCCTAAATGTCTGGGGAGCCCCATGAGAGGACTCTGGTTTATTTACTGTTGTGTCTCTAACCTGGCATGAGAGCCTGGCTGAAATGGTTGAATGGTGAGAAAATGAAGCTCATTTGGCACAACCCATAAACTTCAAACTTATTTACTATATCTTATTGTGAAGTCTGAGTCTCTCTGTTCCTACTTAGACTGAGACAGGTGGTGACTTCCTGATGGAAGTGACGTGGACATGACAGGGAGTAGGGGCATAAAGTCTATCACCAGGGCTGGGGAGCCCCATGACTATCTGTTTACTATCTTTTCCTGTCAGGCAAATGAAAAAGCTGTAGCTGAAAGAATTGATAAGTTTATTGTCAAACTGAAAGAGCTAAAGCAAGTGGCCTCTCCTTTCACTCTGGTGAGTATTGAGGAACTCTAGGTGCTAGATTTAGGGGAGGAGAGACCCTTAAGACTGTCTGGGATTTTTCCACTATGGTGCCCAAGAGGTCTGATGAGAGGTGGAGGATTATTTGTGATTTCTTGTTGTAATTACTCCCTCTTTGCCCATCTGTCAGATCATTGATGATCCCTCAGGGAACAGCTTTGTGGAAAACCCCCATGCTCCCCAGAAAGATCATGCCCTCGTGATCACACACTATAATCGGACTCTACAGCAGGAAGAGATGCTGGGGCTCCAGGTAAGTAGACTGAAGAAGCCAGAAGACTGCTCTGGCATTATCTTGCTTTCTGGATTGCTTGGAATTAGTGGAATCTTATTTTGTCATTGCTACCCTGTGTACCCTATCTCTGCATATTTGTGCATCTCATCTAGTTTGTATCAAGACTTAGGATAAACTTTTTTTTTTTAAGATTTTATTTATTTATTGTACAGAGAGAGACAGAGAAAGACACAGCGAGAGAGGGAACACAAGCAGGGGGAGTGGGAGAGGGAGAAGCAGGCTTTCTGCTGAGCAGGGAGCCCGATGCGGAGCTTGATCCCAGGACCCTGGGATCATGACCTGAGCCAAAGGCAGACGCTTAATGACTGAGCCACCCAGGTGCCCCAAGACTTAGGATAAACTTTACAATAAAAGTTGGCAGTGGCTGTGATCCTGTCTTAAGCTCTGTTTTTCCTTGGATTGGGGCTTTGCTTCCTACTTTCTCTGTTAAACGCATGAGGTGGCACCTGATATAAGCAAACAGTCTTCTCTCTCACTCCAAGGCAGGCTGTTGGGGAGGCTGAGGTATATGTGCCAACGTGTGATTTGTATTTCTGCTATGGTAGGCTGAGGCACCACCAGAAGAGAAGCCAGAAGAGGAGGATCTCAGAAACGAAGTGAGTCTACTGGCTGCTGTGGAGGAAGGAACAGAGCTGTGGGCAGAGACTGACGCTGCTCAGTCTCTCTTCCTCACCATCAACACTGGCAACTACCAGCATACCAACTGAATGTCTGGAGCCTGAGCAGGGCTCACCCTTCGTCCCCATGTTGTGTTCCAGGTGCTGCAGTTCAACACAAACTGTCCAGAATGCAATGCTCCGGCTCAGACCAACATGAAGCTAGTTCGTATCTTTTGTCAGGCAGTTGGGTTGCTCTTTATCTGACTCGGGCATGAAGATTATATGCAGGCTGCGGAGTATTCCCTTCAAGGAAAGTGCAGTGATGAGGAAGGTGTTGCCTTTGATGAGACTGCGTACATTGGCTTTTGGGTTCAAAGAGAGAGTTAGGCTGTGGTTTCTAGGGTCCTGTGTTTGGCTTGAGTCATGTCTTCCAATATTTGTGAACAAGGATTGCCATGGGTTGCCACCTTGCCCTCTTCTGGAGGACTATCTGAGTTAGGCTGCTTCTTGTGATTTCTTTCCTATAGTCCTAGGACTAGCAACTGTGCTTTTAGGGTTTGGGTTTGTTCTTCCTCAGAAGGTGGTCTTGCTCTCCTGGAAGCAAATTTCCTTACCTCCATCTTCCAGAAATCCCTCACTTTAAGGAGGTTATCATCATGGCTACCAACTGTGAGAACTGCGGCCATCGGACCAATGAGGTGGGTGGGCTCCATTGTTAAGGAAGATGACTAAGGTGAGGGTAACCCCTGTTTAACTTTGATCCTTCCTAAATATGCTTTGGGATGAGGTGGGAGGAAGCTGGGTCTTTCTCTTGGATGTAGTGCAGGGTGAGGAGCCCTTGAAGGAACTGGGAATTAGTGAAGTAAAATTAGAGATACCATTACTCATTCAAGACATTGAAGATTGGTTATATGGAAGAGGGAGGTGCCCCCCTTTTTGTTTATTTTTTAAAAATTTTTTATTGTTATGTTAATCACCATACATTACATCATTAGTTTTTTGATGTAGTGTTCCATGATTCATTGTTTGTGCATAACACCCAGTGCTCCACGCAGAATGTGCCCTCTTTAATACCCATCACCAGGCTAACCCATCCCCCCACCCCCCTCCCCTCTAGAACCCTCAGTTTGTTTTTCAGAGTCCATCGTCTCTCATGGTTCGTCTCCCCCTCCGACTTATTCCCCTTCATTCTTCCCCTCCTGCTATCTTCCCTTCTTTTTTTTTCTTAACATATATTGCATTATTTGTTTCAGAGGTACAGATCTGTGATTCAACAGTCTTGCACAATTCACAGCACTCACCATAGCACATACCCTCCCCAATGTCTATCACCCAGCCACCCCATCCCTCCCACCCCCGACCACTCCAGCAACCCTCAGTGTGTTTCCTGAGATTAAGAATTCCTCATATCAGTGAGGTCATATGATACATGTTTTTCTCTGATTGACCTATTTCACTCAGCATAACACCCTCCAGTTCCATCCACGTCGTTGCAAATGGCAAGATCTCATTCCTTTTGATGGCTGCATTATATTCCATTGTGTATATATACCACATCTTCTTTATCCATTCATCTGTCGATGGACATCTTGGCTCTTTCCACAGTTTGGCTATTGTGGACATTGCTGCTATAAACATTGGGGTGCACGTACCCCTTCGGATCCCTACATTTCTGTCTTTGTGGTAAATACCCAGTAGTGCAATTGCTGGATCGTATGGTAGCTCTATTTTCAGCTGTTTGAGGAACCTCCATACTGTTTTCCAGAGTGGTTGCACCAGCTTGCATTCCCACCAACAGTGTAGGAGGGTTCCCCTTTCTCCACATCCCCACCAACATCTGTCGTTTCCTGACTTGCTAATTTTAGCCATTCTGACTGCTGTGAGGTGGTATCTCATTGAGGTTTTGATTTGGATTTCCCTGATGCCGAGCGATGTTGAGCACTTTTTCATGTGTCTGTTGGCCATTTGGGTGTCTTCTTTGGAAAAATGTCTGTTCATGCCTTCTGCCCATTTCTTGATTGGATTATTTGTTCTTTGGGTGTTGAGTTGGATAAGTTTTTTATAGATTTTGGATACTAGCCCTTTATCTGATATGTCATTTGCAAATATTTTCTCCCATTCTGTCGGTTGTCTTTTGGTTTTGTGGACTGTTTCTTTTGCTGTGCAAAAGCTTTTTATCTTGATGAAATCCCAGTAGTTCATTTTTGCCCTTGCTTCCCTTGCCTTTGGCGATGTTTCTAGGAAGAAGTTGCTGTGGCTGAGGTCGAAGAGGTTGCTACCTGTGTTCTCCTTTAGGATTTTGATGGACTCCTGTCTCACATTTAGGTCTTTCAACTATTTGGAGTCTATTTTTGTGTGTGGTGTAAGGAAATGGTCCAGTTTCATTCTTCTACATGTGGCTGTCCAATTTTCCCAACACCATTTGTTGAAGAGACTGTCTTTTTTCCATTGGACATTCTTTCCTGCTTTGTCAAAGATGAGTTGACCATAGAGTTGAGGGTCCATTTCTGGGCTCTCGATTCTGTTCCATTGATCTATGTGTCTGTTTTTGTGCCAGTACCATACTGTCTTGATGATGACAGCTTTGTAATAGAACTGGAAGTCCGGAATTGTGATACCGCCAGCTTTGCTTTTCTTTTTCAATATTCCTCTGGCTGTTCAGGGTCTTTTCTGGTTCCATACAAATTTAGGATTATTTGTTCCCTTTCTTTGAAAAAAGTGGATGGTATTTTGATGGGAATTGCATTGAATGTGTAGATTGCTCTAGGTAGCATTGACATCTTCACAATGTTTGTTCTTCCAATCCATGAGCATGGAACGTTTTTCCATTTCTTTGTGTCTTCCTCAATTTCTTTCATGAGTATTTTATAGTTTTCTAAGTACAGATCCTTTGCCTCTTTGGTTAAATTTATTCGTAGGTATCTTACGGTTTTGGGTGCAATTGTAAATGGGATCGACTCCTTGATTTGTCTCTCTTCTGTCTTGTTGTTGGTGTATAGGAATGCCACTGATTTCTGTGCATTGATTTTATATCCTGCCACTTTACTGAATTCCTGTATGAGTTCTAGCAGTTTTGGGGTGGAGACTTTTGGGTTTTCCACATACAGTATCATATCATCTGCAAAGAGTGAGAGTTTGACTTCCTCTTTGCTGAGTTGGATGCCTTTGATTTCTTTTTGTTGTCTGATTGCTGTGGCTGGGACTTCTAATACTATGTTGAATAGCAGTGGTGAAAGTGGACATCCCTGCCGCGTTCCTGACCTTAGATTGAGAATGATATTCGCTGTTGGTTTGTCATAGATGGCTTTTATGATATTGAGGTATGTACCCTCTATCCCTATACTCTGAAGAGTTTTGATCAAGAAAGGATGCTGTACTTTGTCAAATGCTTTTTCTGCATCTATTGAGAGGATCATATGATTCTTGTTCTTTCTTTTGTTAATGTATTGTATCACGTTGATTGATTTGCGGATGTTGAACCAACCTTGCAGCCCAGGGATAAATCCCACTTGGTCATGGTGAATAATCCTTTTAATGTACTGTTGGATCCTATTGGCTAGTATTTTGGTGAGAATTTTTGCATCCATGTTCATCAAGGATATTGGTCTGTAATTCTCCTTTTTTTTTTTTTTTTTTTTAAAGATTTTATTTATTTATTTGACAGAGGGAGAGACACAGCGAGAGCAGGAACACAAGCAGGGGGAGTGGGAGAGGGAGAAGCAGGCTTCCCGCGGAGCAGGGAGCCCGATGTGGGACTCGATCCCAGGACCCTGGGATCATGACCTGAGCCGAAGGCAGACGCTTAACGACTGAGCCACCCAGGCGCCCCTGTAATTCTCCTTTTTGATGGGGTCTTTGTCTGGTTTTGGGATCAAGGTAATGGTGGCCTCATAAAATGAGTTTGGAAGTTTTCCTTCCATTTCTATTTTTTGGAACAGTTTCAGGAGAATAGGTATTAATTCTTCTTTAAATGTCTGATAGAATTCCCCTGGGAAGCCATCTGGCCCTGGGCTTTTGTTTGTTGGGAGATTTTTGATGACTGCTTCAATTTCCTTAGTGGTTATAGGTCTGTTCAGGTTTCCTATTTCTTCCTGGTTCAATTTTGGTAGTTGATACATCTCTAGGAATGCACCCATTTCTTCCAGGTTATGTAATTTGCTGGCATAGAGTTGCTCATAATATGTTCTTATAATTGTTTGTATTTCTTTGGTGTTGGTTGTGATCTCTCCTCTTTCATTCATGATTTTGTTGATTTGGGTCATTTTTCTTTTTGATAAGTCTGGCCAGGGGTTTATCAATCTTGTTAATTCTTTCAAAGAACCAGCTCCTAGTTTCGTTGATCTGTTCTACTGTTCTTTTGGTTTCTAGTTCATTGGTTTCTGCTCTGATCTTTATGACTTCTCTTCTCCTGCTGGGTTTAGGCTTTATTTGCTGTTTTTTTCTCTAGCTCCTTTAGGTGTAGGGTTAGGTTGTGTATTTGAGACCTTTCTTGTTTCTTGAGAAAGGCTTGTATTGCTATATACTTTCCTCTCAGGACTGCCTTTGCTGTATCCCAAAGATTTTGAACAGTTGTGTTCTCATTTTCATTGGTTTCCATGAATTTTTTTAATTCTTCTTTAATTTCCTGGTTGACCCATTCATTCTTTAGTAGGATGCTCTTTAGCCTCCATGTATTTGAGTTCTTTCTCCCCCCACCCCTTTTTTGAGACTCTGTTTGATTCACCTGTCAGAGGATTGGAAGTGTGGGGATGCAGATTTTGACTCTAATAAAAAACTTTCTAGATCTCTCTGTAAATAGAATGTGTTGCCTTGGAGGGTTGTAAATTACCTTTCCCTGAGTGTATTCAAGCATAAACTGTTTAAATTCTGAACCCAGAATATTATAAGGTGCATCTACATGCTGGATGCAGTTGGAAGTCCCTTTGAAGCACAAGAGTTAGTTTTTTTAAAAAAGGTAAATTCAGAGTTTGTTGGCAATTTGGGAAAAGTTTTGGCAGGCTCTTGGCCAGCTCTTGGTGTTTCTGGTTTGGATGACCTGCTGCCACTGTTGGTTTAGAAGGCTCTGTCCTTGGTAGCTGTAAGGGGGCCTGATTGGAGGTGTAAACCCATCCTCTGAGGTCTCCCTGACACCAGGTGAGGATCAGAATCTTCTCTGCTGCTGTTCCTGACTACTGTTGTCTGTATAGGTGAAATCTGGAGGAGCAGTAGAGCCCTTGGGTACCAAGATCACCTTCCATATTACAGATCCCTTAGATCTGACCAGAGATGTGCTCAAGGTAACACCATGCTTGTTAAAGTATCTGTCTGCTTCACATGGGCTGTTTCTATCTAGGGGAAAGTGTCTTTTTTAAATTATATCCTGGGGTTGTGGAGTACCTCCTTACTTCCCTGGGTTTCAGGATAGCAGAGTTAATCCATGGTAGGAAGTATGGTGACCCATAAATTCTCCGATGACTTGGCAGCTTTTTGCCTCCAGTGTCTATAAGGGCCCTTGTCTCTGGCCTCTAATGACAGGATACCTGGCAGCTTGGAGCCATGACTCAGGATGTCCCTTTATTAGGTTGGTTCCATTTCTGTGGTTCACATGATAGGAATGAGCCTAGCTTTAGCTGGAGAGTCCGAGAAGACTGGGGCAGCTGACTTTTTCCCCAAACTGTCAGCAGTGGTATTAATTTGGCATGAGAATTTGGGTTAGCTTTCTCGAAGAGACTCCTGATCTAAAGCTTAATTTGATCTCTCATCTCCTAGTCTGAGACGTGTAGTGTGGAAATCCCAGAGCTGGAATTTGAACTGGGAATGGCCATCCTCGGGGGCAAGTTCACCACACTGGAGGGGCTACTGAAAGACATCCAGGAACTGGTGAGTGGCCCGGGTATAGTGCACGGCTGCTTCAGCAATGTGGCTGTGGGGAAGGGGCTAGAAGGCCTCACATGTCCTAGTTTTTGGAGCTGTTAACTGGGGGTTTCTTTGCCTTAAAAGCTGATTTGAAAGACTTAAATAGTATTTTGGATTGTGAAGATAAGTTTATGGGAAATTCTGAATGGAAACTCCCAGTCCTGCCTCTGGGACAATGTAGATATTTTGTGGTTTTTGGGTAAGCCACTTACTTCACCGTAAAATGAGGGGAGGAGGGTCCTTCCAGCCCCTGAAACTCCCCAGCATATATATTTGTGTGTTGACTTAGCACATATATTTATTTTCTTGAATAATTTCACTTAATTGATACCTAGTTGTCAGGCATTTTGTCTTTGTAAATTATACTTTACTTTGCATTTCTCCTTCAAATGAGAACTAGAGTTCCCCCTGGAAGGACATTTTTATAGTTTTTGTTTTATATTGCCAGTTGTCATCTTGGCAGATGAATCTCTGTGCTCTTAGCAGTGGCTACCTAGGTCAGAAAGGTGGTGTGGAGACAGAGCTTCCCTGGCTGGGCACCCTCCTGCCATTTCCCACCAGCTTTATGGTCAAACCTAAGAAACAGCCAGTATTTTAGCACTTTGGATGCCGTTTATTGCAGGTGACCAAGAACCCTTTCACACTGGGTGACAGTTCCAATCCTGGCCAGGTGGAGAAACTGCAGGAGTTTAGCTGGAAGTTAGACCAGGTGAGATGATTCTGGCCCTTCAGTACTTGTGGTCCTGGGGTGCCAGTGGGCGAGAGGCCACCTGCCCTGTCCTGCCGCCTTCTGAACATCTAACCAACATTGGGGATTCCCCTGGTTTCCGATGTCCCATGTACTCTTTCTTGGTTTTCTCCCTTATGTTGTGGGAGTCTCTTCTCTAGTAGCTTCAGTTGGGTTTTTCATTTCCACTGACTTCTTTTCCAAGAGCTTTCTTTTTTTGGTCTTTGAGTACTCTCCCTCCTTCCTTTGCTAAATAGCATCCTGTTGTTTTAAGGATGTGGTATTTTTTTTTCTCTTGAGAATGTTAATGTTGGTTTTTCTTTTTTTTGATGTTTTATTTTCCTTGCATAGTTTCCATTTCCTTTTTTTTTTTCCCTTTTTTTTTTTATTTTTTTATTAAGTTTCCTTTTTCTTTTAAGTTTTTTTTTTTTTTGTTGGTTTTTTTTTTTTTTTTTTTTTTTTGCTTGTTTTTGTTTTTCCATTTAACTTTCTGTCTTTCAAGGTTGGGGCTTTGCTCACATGTCTGATAGTCGTGGAGTTGAATCTTAATTCACGTCGGGCTCATTGTAGGGGGATTTAGCTTAGCCATTTTGTGGAGGTAACCCCAGTGCCAGAGTCCTTAGGTTTTTCCTCTTGGGCTGCTCAGATTCCCATCAGCGGGTGTTCTGTTTCCTGGCCTGAGGAGGAGGACTTGGCTGCTGGTGTTCTGAGAGCTGTGTGTGGGAAGAGAGCTGGGTGTGTATGTCTGTTTACAATAACAACACATTCACTTAACCTTCTGTCCTTGCTGCCTTTTCCTCCATCCTCAACTGGGCGGGCGCCACCTAGGCCTTAGCCTGCAGTGGTGGTGGCTTCTCCACGGATTCCTGCAGTTTTCTGCTGGGGTGGGGGAAGGGCATTTGTTCGCCTGTGTGCAAGGGAGAGGGGGTGGGGATGTCAGGTTGCTTCTTAAGTAGGTTTCATACAGTCCTTATTTTAAGTCTTCTCCACTCCACTTTGAGAGGTACCTTATTTCAACAGTTTCTGAAACTTTTGGGGTTTCTGCCATGTAAATTGGGTTCGTCCTTGTCTGGCAGACACAGCCCCTTCCTACCCATGAGCTATGTAAAATTTATGTGCTGTGTTCTCCCTCCTTTAGATCCTTCAAGGTAACATGAAGGCCCACTTTATTATGAATGATCCAGCAGGAAACAGCTACTTTCAGGTACAGAAGACCTTTCCTGATAGTGCACGGAGATGTATTTTCTGACCTTCTTTGAATATGTGTCATTTCTCCAGAAACTGGAGACTTGATTCTGAATGAACTGCTCTTTATCAAGAAACCTTAGAATTTGAAACATAAGGAAGTATAGGGGGAGGTGGGAGGGATTATAAGTGTGTGTTGAGAAGGGAAAAAAGATACTCCTAGACTCTTCCTCTCTCTAGTCCAGCTCTTGTCCCCAGCAGTGGAATTGTCATTTTGAAAATCTAATTGTGGAGTGAGGAGAAATGGTGCCTTGTCCAGAGGCTGAAATAGGAAACTGGAGAGGCTTTCAGCTGACTGGGGAGATATTCTGGGGATTTATAATAACTTTAACATTTATTGGGCAGTTATTATTGGTCAGGCAAAACTGTTTAAGGTCTCTCTACGATTTAGACTATCATAGGAAGGTGCAGTTAGGAAGTTTTTTAGGCAGACTGTTTCCTAATTCTGCCTAGGGCTGGACAGTCCCATTCCTGGGACTCTTGGGCTCTGTTGCTGCTTGCCAGTTGAGCCTAGCTATGGGGAATTGGGAGGCCTTTAGAATAAAAAACGTTAAGTTTTTGGGAAAGTGGGAGTAGGAAGCCACCTGCTGGTGGTGGGGGGGGGACAGGTAGCTGGGTGGCACAGGCACTGATTGTCTGTTCTTGGCCTTACAGAATGTGTATGCACCTGAAGATGATCCTCAGATGAAGGTGGAGCATTATAAGCGCACATTTGACCAAAACGAGGAGCTAGGGCTCAATGACATGAAGACAGAGGGCTATGAGACAGGCCTGGCCCCACAGCGGTAGCGACGGGTAGTTCCCGAGCCAGCCTCCAGTGCTGCTTAGACTGAAGGGTTATTTATTACTGTCGGGAAAGGCTGGGGGTATCCTCAGCCCCCATGTGGTCTGAGAGATGTGGGTAGTTTTGTGAACAGTTTGTGATGGAAGTGCAAGCCTGTTTACTTGACTGTATTTTGGAGGTTTTGAATTGGCCTGGGAAGAAACCCAGAAATGAACCATGGTGCATGTCATTATTCCTTTTTTTCCTGTCACCTCTACTCTCCCTTCACATAATGCTCTCTCTAGGGTTGGAACTCTGAAGATGGAAGACAGCTACATCGGGAGTTTGGGAGTTGGCTGGGGAATATAAAATACTGGCTTTCAACAGGAAAAGAGTCTTCTGAGGGGAGGGAGTCCAGCATAGCAGAAGAAGCTCTCATTAAAGTGATGGCTTTCCGTCAGGACTGGCCTCTGAATTTACTCTGTCCTTATTTGATACTATGCTAATAGAATTCAGCCTCCTGAATAAATTTTCCCCAGTGTAGTCAATTTGGGGATTGGAGCTGGCATTCATTCATTCCTTCAGTAGATATGTGCCAGGTACACCACAGAACTGAACAAAATAAAACCCTTGTTCATGGAATTTAAAGTGAACTTTTGAGGTCAAACCCATAGTTCTTGCATTTGCTTTATTCGATGCAGCTAACAAATAGAGGGCAAAGCTCAGTGCCACCCTATGAGGTACACAGGGTTGGGATCTGAGCGTGGGTCTTTTTTTTTTTTTTAAGATTTTATTTATTTATTTGACAGAGAGATAGAGCACAAGTAGGCAGAGTGGCAGGCAGAGGGAGAGGGAGAAGCAGGCTCTCCGCTGAGCAGGGAGCGGGACATGGGGCTTGATCCCAGCACCCCGGGACCATGACCTGAGTCAAAGGCAGCTGCTTAACCGACTGAGCCACCCAGGCGCCCCCTGAGCATGGGTTTTGTCAGGCCAAGGTTGGGTGTTGATTTGAAAGGGGAGTGGTGGAACTCAAGACAAATAGGAGATGGGTTGATGGGGCTGAGTGGGTACTGGAGCTGAAAGATGAGGTTTTTAAATGCCTGCTGACAGAAGGGTAGTAGAGGCCGGGCTTTGGAGTTCCGAAGTTAGAGAGGTTAGGAGTTAGAGATCCACCAAAGTGGACTAGAAGCTGGCACAGGGTTGTGTTGGGGGGACCTCTGGGGCCCTCCAGCTAGTGAAGCCCTGTATCAGTTCAGTGTCCCCACAAGCCCTCAGAGACCCAACCCAGTCTGCTTTTCTTCCTGGGCCTGAGCTCGACCAGTCAGGATAACCCAGAGGTTGAAAGTTCATGGGTCAGGGCTGTAACATCCTCACCTGTTTTAATATATGTAAATATTTTTTGAGCACGTATTAAATTCTGAGCATTTATAAAGTGTAACAAGCCTTCTTGACTAATATGCTTTCAAACAGTGACAAAAATTTAACATGTTGAGATAAGGGACATATTCGATCTAATATTTTATTTCACAAACTTCGTTTTTACCTTTTGAACTTCACTTTGCTACCTTCTGCTTCCAAGGGTCCCGTTTTGGCTGTGTGAAGTTGGGCAACTTCCTTAACCTCTCCAAGCTTCGGTTTCCTCATCTGTAAAACACGATAATAAAACCACTTGAGAATTTTAATAGTTAAATGAGGTAATTCACGTAAAACTCTTCATGTTCACAAGAAAAGTAGTGTCTCTGCCCTCCGCCTCCCCCCCCATCCAAAACTTGAGAATTAGAATTCAACCTCTCTAGCTTCCCTGGGTTTTTTTTGAAAATAGAGACAGGTCCTTTTCATTGGAAATATCCTAGGCAAAAGGTAGCTAGTTTGGAATTCCTGATTTCCCCTCTTGAATGGTACTTAGCCGATTGGAGCAGTTTCTACCCCGCAACCTAAACACATACGAATACAAATAACTGGTATATACTGTGCGCCAGACGCTGTTCTAAGCACTTCACGCAGTAAAAGTATCATTCCTCGCAAGCATTGAGTTAGGTACCATTATACTCCCCAGTTTGTTAAATAACTTGCCCAGGGTCCTACAGGTAGGAACTTTCGAGCCTGGACTCAAGCTTAGATACACTGTCACTCCAGAACCCACGTTCTTGGCGACATTGGTGCTTCTGGAGCTGCATCATAAGTTGGAGGGGTAGATAGAGGGACAAACAGAAAACGTGCTTGGGCCAGCAGAGGGACAAGGAGTGGGCACAGGACGTACGCGCACTCCTCGTGAGCCTGCAAAAGCGCGCTCCTGTCAGCCCGGGGCAGTTCCACCAGTCTTCGCCACTTCCGGTCCCGGCCCCGCCCCTCCGGGTCCCCGCCGTGCGTTTCGCGTTCAAGAATTTTGTCCCCAGCGCCGAGCCGTCTCCCCGCCCTCACCGCTGCCATGGCGGCAGCTCCGCCGCTCTCCAAGGCCGAGTATCTGAAGCGTTACTTGTCTGGGGCAGGTGCCGGCGTCGACGGGGGCTCTGACTCCGGTCGCAAGCGTCGCAGAAAGCGGCCGAAGCCCGGCGGGGTCGGCGGGAAGGGGTGAGTTGGTTCTGGCGGGGCGGGGCCTGCGGCGGCTCGCCGCCCCTCTCCTCCCCAGCTCCGCCCTCGGCCGGCGCTTCCCCTCTCCGCGCCGCCTGCCCGGCTCCTCACCGGGCTCGTCTGGAGCCCAGCTCAGGCGCCCCGCGCCCCTGGGCGGTATCTTCGCCTTCTCGAGCCGGCTCTAACTTTCATCACTCTTTTCCCGCCTTTATAGCGTTCCGTCCTCTCCCGTAGAGAATGAATGTAGTGTCCTGAGAATAATGGTGGAGCTCACCCAAAGCCTCCGTGTTTGGATATTTAGGGCCCAGAACCTGTTTGTGGGGTTCAGCAATCCTGGGGACTCTGGTCCTGAGTCGGAGACCTATGCTTACTTCCTGTTACTCTTAACAGTGATGCTGTTAACAGTAATAACCAACATTTGTAGTTCTTGTCATGTATCAGAGGCCGTTTTAAGTACTTCAGACGTATATGATTTTAAGCTTCATAATACTACCACGAAGTTGGGGGTGTTATTATCCCCGTTTTTCACGTCAGAAAACTTTGTAGCCCAGTGTACTGGGTTGAATAGTGCCCCTCTCACCATTCATGTCCACCCAGAACCTCAGAATGTGACTTTCTTTGGAAATAGTGCCTTTGCAGATATAATTAGTTAAGATGCGGTCGCAGTGGATTAGGATGGGCGCTAAATCCAATATGACCGGTGTCCTTTTAAGAGGAGGGAAATTTGGACACAAACAGACGTTAGGGAAGAATCACCACGTGAAGATGGAGGCTGAGACTGGACTGGATTTCCGCTGCCACTAGCCAGAGTTTGCCTGGGGCTACCAGAAATTGGAGGAGTCAAGGAAATACCCTCTCCTAGAGCCTTCCCAGCGGGCATTGCCTTGCAGACACCTTGATTTCAGACTTGAAGCCTCTAGAACTGTGAGAGAATATATTTCTGTTGTCGTAAGCCCCGCAGTTTGTGGTACTTTGTTAGGCAGCCCTAGGGAACTATACCCCCAGTTTCAGAGAACAAAGCCATTTCCTTTCCTGGTTTGGTTCTTGCCTATTCTTGCTTTCTGTCTTCCTGCCCTTCAACTTGTGTAGATTATTTGGAGACAGTGCCATGTAGTGAAAATAGCTTGAGCTTTGGAGTAACGCTGGTCAGAGTTTGAGTCTTAGCTGTGCCACTTTGTGGGCTGTGTGGCCTTGGGCAAGATATTTCATCTAAGACTGTTTCCACATCTTTAAAATGAGAGTAATAATGACATCACTTTATGGTTATGATTAGAGATGTATATAGTGATCATGGTTTTTCACATAGAACTGTTCACATCAGGGCAGTCGTTGTTAATTATTTGGACTCACCCATAGTTTTGTCTGTGTAACAAACATTTATTGAATAGTACTTCTTATGCCAGTTACTTCAGGGTGTTGAGGATATCACTGTGAATGAGAAGGCATAGTCCCTATTCTGGTGGACCTTGTAGTTAAATGGGCATACGGGCTTTACACATCTAATTACATAACTAATTGATTTATTTTCTTTGTGAATAACACAATGAAAGTATTCCATGCATGCATAGCAGGGGTTGAGGGAGGTAAGGGGAGAAGCTCAAGGAAGTTAAATATAAGCTAGGACTCTTAAGAATCTTAAGAGTTTCCCATTAAAGAACGAAGACTAGGTCAGGCAGAGGGAAGGAACTGATTATGTGAAAACTGACGTGCTAAGGAATGTGCTCATTCCAGGCACCAAAAGATGGCCAGCAAGGTAGTGAAATGTGGAGGCAGTGGTACAAGGTGAAGTTCGCCCTATAGGCAAAGACTGGACCTTGTAGAATCTTGTAGGATTTTGAGCTTTATCCTAAAATCCATAGATAAGTGTTTATAGTCTGTTACCCAGGAATGGTTCTTAATTTTTTGGTCTTTTTATTTTTCACATTTAGAATGCGGATTGTGGATGATGATGTGAGCTGGACATCTATTTCCACCACTAAACCGGAAAAGGAGGAAGAAGATGATGATGGAGATTTGCCTGTGGTATGTATCTTTTGAGGCTGTGAGGACTTCTCAATCTTGCTTCCCAGTACAGGGTAGATTTATACATATATGTTGAGGGCAGTGACACTTTTCAAAGAGCTGTTTTAAAGTAGTCTTCTTTGATGATGCCTATAGACTGTTTTCTTTATTTATGGAGGGCCTCATTAGCCTAGAAATGGGAACTAATCCCAGAGAGACAGGACTTCTAATTGTAATGTTTACAATTAGCCATGGTTCAGTTTATTGATATGTACCTTAAAAACATTTCAGCTTTAATTAAAGGAAACTTTATTTGTTCCTTTTATTCATTGATTCAACCGGTTTAAAATTGTATATTTTTGTTTAAGTACTGTAGATATGTAGGTTAATAAACCTACAAACCTACCTAGTGTCTGTACTTTAGAGACCATACCCTAAATGGGAGACTGAATTTCAAATTTCAACAATGTGATAAATGGCGGAGAGACATTTCATATATGTACCAAGTGCTATTAGAGCACTGGGGAAGTAGCACATTTTTTTATTCCACTGGGAAATTTTTTTTTTAAGATTTTATTTATTTATTTGAGAGAGAGAGAACACACATAAGTCAGGGCAGGGGTGAGGGCAGAGGGAGAGGGAGAACAGACTCCCAGCTGAGCAGGGAGCCCTACGACATGGGGCTCTATCCCAGGACCATGGCATCATGACCTGAGCCCACTGAGCCACCCAGGCGCCCCCCCCACTGGGAAATTCTATTAGGGATGTAAATACCCGAACTGAGTTTTGAAGGACCAGTAAGAACCAAGTGGGCAAAAGCGTAGGCAAATAATCTTGCGTTGGTTCTGTCATGGAAACCTTACTGAGAAACATGGTGAGAAGGAGAGCTGTTGATAGGCTGTATTGAACTAAAAGGTTGTTAAAATGAATTCCGGATGAGTATATTCAATGTTAGTCCCCAGCATATTCTGTAATACATCTTTTTTTTTTAAAAGATTTTATTTATTTATTTGACACAGAGAGAGAGAGCACAAGTAGGCAGAGCAGCAGGCAGAGGGAGAGGGAGAAGCAGACTTCCCGCCGTGCAGGGACCAGGACGTGGAGCTCGATCCCAGGACCTTGGGATCATGACTTGAGCCGAAGGCAGCTGCTTAACCGACTACTGAGCCACTCAGGCGCCCCTATGGTACATCTTTTAAGAGAAAGTTTATTAGTAATTAGAAGGGAAATAGTGGGTCACCTGGCTGGCTAAGTCGGTGGAGCGTGAGGCTCTTGATCTTGGGGTTGAGTTTGAGCCCCACACTGGGTTTAGAGATTACTTTAAAAAAAGGGCCGGGGGGGCACCTGGGTGGCCCAGTCAGTTAAGCGTCTACTTTTAGCTCAGGTCATGACCCCGGGGTCCTGGGTTCTAGCCCCGCATCGGGCTCCCTGCTCAGCGGGGAGTCTGCTTCTCTCTCTTCCTCTTGCTCTGCCCCTGCTCGTGTGCTTTCTCTCTTGCTCTCTCTCAAATAAATAAAATCTTTAAAAAAAAAAAAAAGGAAGGGAAATAGTGATCCTAGGGGCCAATTAATTTGAGTCAGATCCAGTCACTTAACCTAATTAATGTTTACAACATTTGTTTTTTTATGTTATAAAAGCAATACATATTTATTGCAGAATATTTGGGAATTACAAGAAGGTTTAAAATTTTGAAAAAAATATAATAATCACTTACGCTGTGACTGTCCAGAGGTAATAACTGCTAACATTTGGAGGCATATGTCTTTAATTCATAGATTATACATACTTGTATTTTATTTATTTTTTAAATATAATCGGGATCATACTGAACATATGGTTCTGGAACCTGCTCTTTCATATAATAATATGTTGTGACTACTTTAGTAAGATTTTAAAATACTCTTTGAGGACATGACTTTTAATGGTTGCAACGGTAATTCATTATATATATTAATTTAACCTGTCCTTTTACTGTATGCATGGGTGGTTTTCTGTTTTAAAATATAATGCTTTGAAAAACGTAGAGAAATCATTGTGGAAATCTGTTTATTTCTTTATTCCTATCAAATGAAATTAATAGGTTAGAAAGTATGGTCCTTTTGAGCTGTATTCCCATATTGCTTTCCAAAAGGTGGTACCAATTTATACTCTCCCTAGAGTTGTTTGAGAATGCCATTTTCCCCATTTCTTCATCAATACTAGAGAATTATTTATAACAACAAAAGCAACAGGTTCAAACCTGTGTCTGTTTGGCAGGTGAACAGTGGTATCCAGTTTCTTTGAAAAATAGTGAATAGTTTTTTTTCATATGTTTATTGGGCATTTGTATTTTATGACTTTTTTTGGCATTTTTCCATTGTTTAGAAAATTGGACTTTTAAATTTTTTCATTGTTTTATTTGATATTTATGTAAATAAGAATATATTACTTGTTTTACTGTCATAAGTATTTTTTTATTTGCCTTTTCATTTTTAAGTTTTTGACATTTAAAAATTTTAATTTTTATATAATCAAGTCTATTAATTTTCCTTTATAATACTGTCTTTTGCTCTTACGATTGCCTCAAAACCCGAACAAGGGAGGTGTTAGCCCCACTGCTCTCTACACTGGTTAAAGCAGATCTTGATTATTGAATTCATTTTTGTCGCTGCAAGACCACCACCACCACCAGTAATAATGGCAAAATAATTAGAACAAGCACAATACCAGTGGCAGCACAGAATAATGGGTATAATTTATTGAGCATTTACCACGTACCAAGCTGCTTAGCTTACATGAATTATCTCATTGAATCCTCATAGAACCTTGAGTCCTCCTTCCACAAATGAGGAAATTGAGGTTTAGAGAAAATAATTTGCCAAAGGCTACAGAAATATTAAGTGGCAGAGCTGGTGATTTAGATCTTAGTTTATCTTGCTTGAATTCAAGCCTGTGCTTTCCTATCTCAAAACTAGGTTACT